GAGACAGTGGTCCTTAGGAGCCATGAGAGGCCTGTGCATCAGCTTTTATTTCATCTGGTGAACAGTTCATTTAATTTATTTAAATTTTATTTAATAAACCCCCTGGGAAACCCACCCAAAAACCTTCTGTTTCAAAATTATGCATTGCTAGGCAACAGTAAATTTAGCTTGTATGCCATTTACAAATGCAAGGATTTAAAGCAAGGACATGAGCAAGTCAGAACAGCATATTTCACATCATTCACATAACTAAGCATGTTAAACGCTAATTCTGAAAAGCAAAGGTTTATATGTGCTTTAATGTCATAGCTTTATAGTATTCCATATGACTGTATTGTATAATCTAGCCAAGAACCCACACATACTGCCACAAAATCAAAATAAATTCTAATCTAGAGAAATAGTGATAGAGATGCAGCCGTGTTAGTCTGGTCTAGCTGAAACATCTAATAAACCATCTTGTCAGTCTTTGAAGTGCTACATAGTTGTCTTTTGTTTCAGCTAATCTAGAGAAAGGCCCCTTGTTTCGTTATTTCCTTGTGCATCCCCTTCTGTTTCTTGTTTCAGACCAGTGGCTCCTTACCTGTGGTCTGGGGACCCTTGATGGTCGGAGACAGTACTGCAGGGGCACGTGTAAAGTTTAGGGTGAGCCCGTTCACTTTTCTTTTTTCTTTGCCTTTTTTTTCTCCCCAGGAAGGGGGGGGGGTCCCTGAAATTTTACTAGATTGGAAAAGGGGCCTGAGTGCTCGAAAAGGTTGGGAAGCACTTTTTTAGACAGTCAATTATTTGGGTACTGGGACAATCTTTTTGTTATGTATTTATACAAGTACCTAGCAAATAGGGGTCCTAGATTGTAACAGGGGTACCCCACATGCAAATGGAATGCACAAAGTAACCACCCCCAGCTTCTGCAGCACTCTTGAGGGGGCAGCATGGCCTCAGATCGGGGTTATGGGGTATAAACCCATGAGCCGGGTGTTGTGAACGTGCCATTAGTGAGGGTGCTGAGTTTCAAGAGACACTCTTTAGGCTTTAGAATTAAAGCTCCATTGTGAAGAAAGGGCTCAGGGCAGGACCGCAACGCCCAGGCCCATTGCAACTCCTTGTCACAGCCGGGGCGGGGGACGAGCACGTTTCGCTCCCTTGGATGCCGGGGCTCGCTCCTGAGAGAAAGACAGAGGGACAGGCTTCCTCGCGGCCATGGCCCTGCCTCCCTCCCAATCCTTGTTTCCTTATTGGCCAGTCGCTGCCTAATAATCGCTCGCTATTGGCTGTTCCTGTTCCATCGACGCTCATTCTATTTGGTCTATTCTAATAGGCCTTCTCGTTCTATTTGGTCAGTGCACTGTGATTGGCTAGGGTGAGCTCCGCCCATGCCGGAAGCGCGCCTGCTCCCGGTGGCGCGATCGGGCGATGCGGTGACGTGCGGGTTTGGGGCCGTTGCTATTGGCGGGAGCGGCGTAAGAGGCCATGTGGCTCGCGCTGTGCGGGCTTGTGGCGGCCGTGGGGAGCAAGACGGGCGCG